CACGTGCAGACAACCTTGCCTGCCGTGAACCGGCGCTCGGACGGACGGACGGACAAACGAACAAAAAAGGACAGGGTGGTGACTCAAAAGGACTCCCTGCTAAGGGGTAGGGAGGGGGCTTTGGATGAGCCGTCCCCCCCCTCACTCTGCTGGAGACGAAGTTCAGGCCACTGTGCGTTTTGGGAAGGTGCCGGCCGAGAAGTGAGTGGGTTGATCACAGTGACAGGACATTGTGTGTGTGTCAGGGGCCTGTGTGCTGGGTGGAGGGTGTGTGTGTGTGGGGTGGGGGGGACGGGAGAATTTTCTCTCTACTGCATTCTCTTTCTCAACAAAGGGAGACTTGCACTAAGAGGAGGAGATGGTACTGTGTGTGGTGGGGACAGGACCAAGGGTCCCCCGGGGAGTCAGTGAACTTGATGACTTATCAGTATTTCCTATCCTTTGCCCTAAAACCCTTACTTGTCTTGGGAAAGAGAAACAGGACTAAGTCAGTACCTTTCTGTCCGGCCGAGTGAGGCGCTGCAGATTGGAATGTCTTGATTCGGATGTTTTTCGTCTTCACGGGAGGGAGGAGGAAGGGGGACTGTGCGGGAAGGGAGGGACCCTCTGTTCATTTCTGGACTTCTCAGTAGCCCAAGAAGAAGGACAGCAAAACCATCCGCTCTGACCTCCTGGGAGCCCCCCATGTTTTCTGCAGCCTTTGCATTTCAGAGGACATGCTGTGGGGCATGTGTACCTGCCCTGGTTTTTCCCATGGGGGAGCTGAGTGCTTGAAGAAAATCCCACTGGCTTTGGGGGTGCCAAGTGCCCCGTAACTGCCTCTGCCTGCTTGTTGTGTGAGTACGAGTTGAGATTATTCGTCTGTCCTCCGGCCTTTACTGAATTCACATTCTGTGCCAGACGCCGTGCTCTGTCCCTTTTACCTGGAAGGTCGTTAGTCAACTCCAATAGGACAGCAAGGTTTATTTTGGGGGGGGGTGGCGGGGAGGCAGAGAGGTTAATGACCCTCACCCTCTCAGTACAGTTCGTAGACCGGTTCCTGTAAACAGCAGTGTTTTCCTCTCACGGAGGGTTCCCCACAAACACCAAGGTGGGTCGGAGTCAAGTGTCCCTTAGACACGCGTAGGACCCCTAAATCCACATGATTCTACGACGAGCGGGGCTGCTCCGCCCTGGATCAAGGACCAACCCCAAGCCAACCTCAGCTCCATTCTCAAGCCACGGGGCAGTGAGAATCGTTCTTATTCTCAGGCACCTTCATCTCCACTTTCTCACACTCCCAGGGTGCTCGCTGCACCTAGGGATCCTCCTTACCAGCTTTTCGCTCTCCCTACACCCCTGCCGGCCATCTCAGAGGCATGACCCTCGAGTGAGCTGTAGGAAGCAAAAGCATGAATCCCAACTCAACCACTTACTAGAGGTGTGATGTGGGGGCAGATTTTACTTAACCACTTTCAGCTTTCATTTCCTCACCCCTCAAGCAGGGGTAGAGATGGCATGATATTGACTTCTAAAGGTCCTTGGGCAGATTCAACACATTTAAGACCCTGAGGCATGGGGCCTTTGCTCACTGTTAGAGTCCCAGTGCTTAGATGAGTGGCCGCCCATAGTAGTATTCGATAACTATCTGAATGAATAAGTGCATGGGAAACATTAAGTACAGTGTGTGGCAGTCAGGATTCAATATTATGGCTTTTTATGTTAACACCAGAGTCCCTTGGCCTGGCCTGCACCTTCTCGCAATCAGGGACCCTTCGGGGGATATTGGAGAGCCAGTTTGAGCCTGATCCCCACACATCGGTGCACGGGGGCGGGCTGCGGGGGGGCGAGGGGGAGGCGAGGGGAGGTTGTGCCCCGGGCCTCTAGTATGCATACAAGAACTTTGGTTAATCTCTTCCACTTTCCCCCTCCCCCTTCCCCCCCTCCCCTTCCTTCTGAGATTCATCAGTCTGTCCCATGTTTCCATGCCTGTGCATTGAGCATCTGCCCTCTGGTGGTCATTGTATGTCATAGCTACTGGTCGAATGGTCAGCCGGAAGCTTAGGCTTTTATATATATAGATACTTTACACATAATGAAATGGAGGCACATACATCATTTCCCTTGGGGTTCAGAGCCCCCCTAAGTAGCTGCTGCATGGCCACAACCAGAATTCTTCCACTCTCCAGCCACTTGGGGTGGAGTGAAGGGCAGGAGTCTTATCAGCATCAAAGGCCCATATACCCCTCCTGATAGGAATTTGTGAAAACCCACACTTCTGCTTTTAATTCTATTCTCAGCTCTCATTCTCTCCCGGGCTGCTCCATGATTGCTTCATGTCAATAAAAATGGGTTCCTAAAGCAAGTTCGTGTCCCGTGTGCCTGACGCTATGTTCAATGACTCATAAGATTTTACCCTCCACAGGAAAAAAAGTCTAGCCAATTCAAAAGCTCACGGTGGGCAGAGGTTCTCACTGCAACACAGCAAGAGCAAATAAAAGAAAAATCAGCCGTGACCGGTTTGGCTTAGTGGATAGAGCGTCGGCCTGGGGACTGAGGGGTCCCGGGTTCGATTCTGGTCAGGGGCATGTGCCTTGGTGGCGGGGACATCTTCAGTGGGGAGTCTGCGGGAGGTGGCTGATTGATGTTTCTCTCTCATAATCAAGCAAAAACCCAAAGGCAGACTCGACTCTAATTTTGCTTCCCTTTTTAAGTCCAGAGAATGTGACGAAAACCAAATCTTATCAAGAACCGTTCTTCAGGCCCTGGCCAGGGAGCTCAGGTGGTTAGAATGTTGTCCCGATTCCCCAAGGTTGCGGGTTCGATCCCAGGTCAGGGTACATACATGAATCAACCAATGAATACAGGGGTAAGTGGAAAAACAAGTCTATCTATCTCTTGTCCTTTTATAAAAGATACCTTTTATTGGTCCTGATAGTGTAAAAGATTTCAGTTCTGGTCTATTCTCAGAATGGCCTTCCTTCCCCTTTTAGTAAAAGCGAAAGGATTAAAAAATAGACTTTAAAGCAAAAGCTGTAACCAGCTACAAAGAAGGACACAGCAATTCCACTTTCTGGGTATTGATCCAAAGAAACCTAAAACACCAAATTGAAAAGACAGATGCACCCCAGCATTATTGACAATAGCCAGGCTATGGAAGCAACCTCAGCGCCCATCAGTCGATGAGTGGATACAAAATTAAGAGGTACATATATATAATGGAACATTACTGAGCCATAAAAATAAGATTATATACCATGGGATATGACTCAGCCACAAAAAAGAATGAAATCTCACCATCTGCAACAACATGGATGGACCTGAGGCTATTGTTCTCCCTGAACTCAGTCCGACAAAGACAAATGCCAGATATTTCACTTACGTGTGGAATCTAAAAACCAAAATAAACAAACAAGCAGAACAGAAACAGACTCATAGATACAGAGAACATTTTAACGGTTACCAAGTGGAAGGGCGGTTTGGAGGGAGGGGTGAAAAAGGTGAAGGGATTAAGAAGTACAAATTGGAGCCCTGGCTGTTTGCTCAGTGGTTAGAGCATCGGCCTCAAAACTGAAGGGTCTCAGGTTTGATTCCCAGTTAAGGGCACATACCTCGGTTGCATGGCTTGATCCCCAGCCCGGGTCAGGGCACATGCAGGAGGCAACCAATCAATGTGTCTCTCTCACACATCCTCGTCTCTCTCTCTCTCTCTCTTTTTCTCTCTCACCCTCCTCCCTCACTTCCAGTCTTTCTGAAAATCAAAGGAAAATGTCTTCAGGTGCAGATTAAAAGAAAAGAAGTACAAATTGGTGGTTACAGAATAGTCATGGGGGTGTGAAGTACAGGCTAGGAATATAGTCAGTAATATTGTAACAACGATGCACAGTTCCAGACGGGTATTATGGTTATCGGGTGATTACTTCATAAGTTACATACATGCCTAATCACAAGGTTGTACTAATATAATATTATATGTCAACTGTAATTTTAAAATAAAAATATTTTTTAAAGGATTAATGAGGTCTGAAGTCGCAGGGGCTGCTGAGAGCGGATTAGAACGAGGGGTCAAAGCCGACTGTTGAAGGTTCTAGAACACAGTGGGCACGTGGCCACACAGGGCCTCAGCCTGCTTGCCTTTCAGCCCTTCTGTTCCACGGAGGTTTCCAATGAGTCAGGACCCCATCGCGGCAGTGAGTGCATCAATGGCCGCGGGACCAGCTCCACGGTGTGCCGGGCGGACCCCATGCAAAATGAAAATGTAAGGCCCCTTGTTCAAAATAATATTAAGAATTTTAAGGTGGTGACAGCAGAGCATTAAACTAAACAAAGGACCCTCCTAAGCTTATCCATAAAACTGGGGTCCTAAATTTTATATGGATGGATAGGTGGATAGCAAGATAGAAGAAAGATAGATAGATAGATAGATAGATAGATGGATAGATAGGTAAATAGATATTGAGGTGGAATAAACAGATGGCCTCACATATAGGCCTAATACATATTAGCATCCAGTGATGAGACAGTAGGAGTGGGAAGGGGTCAATGTTTTATTTCTTGTGAAGGTTCATTCATTCATTCATTCATTCCCTCTTTCAGGGAACACTTTTTAGGCACCAGCTCAGTAGCAGGCACAGTAGAAACACAACGGAAAACATAGCTCCGGACCCCATGGGTTCTACTGTAGAAACCAAGGGGAAAAAATAAGCTTTCCCTGCAGGGTAACTATGATGAATGTGAGTGGCATGGGCTCGACAGAAGAACCCAGCCCTTAATCCTGCCTTAGGGGGGGGGGAGGCTTCTCAGAGGAAGTGACTCATGAGCTGAGGCCTGAGGGATGGGAAGGAGGGAGGCCAGGGGATGACTCGGTGGGAAAGGTAAGGCAGTTAGACACAGGGAGGCGGGAAGCTGAGCGGGGAACTGCGGGAAACCCGTGGGCCAGGAGCAGGGAGCCCAGGCTGGGCCGCAGCAACGTGAGAGCCATGCAGGGGAGAAGGGGCAGGAGGTTCGTGAATAGCCTTTTAGATTTCATTCTTTTTAAAAAATATATCTTTTTACTGATTTCAGAGAGGAAGGGAGAGGGAGGGAGAGATAGAAACATCAATGATGAGAGAGAATCATTCATCAGCTGCCTCCTGCACGCCCCCTACTGGGGATCGAGCTCACACCTGGGCATGTGCCCAGTCCGGGAATCGAATTCCGATCTCCTGGTTCATAGGTCGATGCTCAACTACTGAGCCACACTAGTCGGGCCAGATTTCATTCTTTAAAATAATAATAATAATGCAATGTATTTGATTACATAAGGCATATGTATGTTTTTTGTTCAAAATTCAGACACAAATATATAAAGTAAGAAATAAAAGTCTCACCCTGGCCGGTGTGGCTTGGTTAATAGAGTGTCGGCCTGCATTCCAGAGGGCCTTGGTGCATTTTGTGTCAATTTTGGGGTACAGTGCAAGGAAGGGGCCCAACTTCACTCTTTTGCATGTGGCTATCCGATTGTCCCAGCATTATTTATTTACTTATTTATTCATTTATTTGAAAGAGAGAAAGAGAGAAACCCAGGTATGTGCCCTTGACCAGGAATCAAACCCGGGGGCTGACGCTCTAACCATTGAGCCACCGGCCAGGGCCCTATTATTCTTAATTTTAAAAAAAAAATAGTTCCACCCAGTTCATTGGCACACATTCAAGCTGTAATATGATCACTAGGCACGGAGACTCAAGTTCACCGTACAAGTCATGGGTGATAAGTGAACTTTCCTCAAATCCCGGCGGAGCCACTGCTGTGGCTGTCGACATGATTCATTAGAACCAGTTTCTGTACAGCTCATGTGCTGGTAAGGAAAAGAACAAGTATGTAAGTGGAGGGTGCACGCAAGACAAAACATGCCCACGGCGAAGGGAGGCCAGGAACGCCGCAGCAGGCCCCCAATCCGAATGGGGGGCGGGGGCCGAGTTGACATTCTGCCCGCATACCGTGAGCTTTGGTTTAGAACAGCGATTTCCACCCTTTTTCCTCTCGTGCACACATCAACTAATGATTGAAACTCTGTGGCACACCGGAAAGGGTATTTTTTGCTGATCTGACAAACATTTAAAAAAAATAGCTGAAACCGGTTTGGCTCAGTGGATAGAGCGTCGGCCTGCGGACTGAAAGGTCCCAGGTTCGATTCCGGTCAAGGGCATGTACCTGGGTTGCAGGCACGTCCCCAGTGGGAGATGTGCAGGAGGCAGCTGATCGATGTTTCTCTCTCATCAATGTTTCTAACTCTCTATCTCTCTCCCTTCCTCTCTGTAAAAAATCAATAAAATATATTTT